GCCACCAAAGGAGGAAGTGTAGATAGAAAAGATCAAAGACAAGCTGAGCCTAATGATACTCTATGATTATGAGATAAATTTGAATTAAGGATCCAAGATTGTGCTTGTAATATTATGGGACAAGGCCTTAGAGTGGTGAGCTAACACTTGGCAAGACAAACTGGGGGTACAGAGGACTGAGTAGAACTGAACACAGAACAGAATGGTAGTGTGGAGCTGTACCAGATGGGGATGCTTGCGGCTGAAGCGTCTAAGCTTAGATTTTGAGAGCAATTTGGTCCTCGTTACCTAAAGTCCTAGCCTCACGAATGACCAGGGTAGGGGTAGGATAAGAAATAAGAAATATTTTTAAAAATTATACTAATACTCTCGGATGGGGTTATAATATAGCAGAAAATTTTTAAGTAATTAAGTCTATTGAGAGAATGCTATTTTGTGTCAAACTAAGTATTGGGAGTCCATACATTATTAAAAATATTTTTTTAAAATTGTGGTATTGATGTATGTATGGATTGTGATAGTAGTTGTATGAGCCCCTAATAAAATGACTTAAAAAAAAAAAGAACTAAGAAATAAACACAAGGGACCTTCCCAAAAGTTTGTGGGGGGGAAAAAATCCATTACCTTTTTTCCATTCCATTTTTCCACGTACTTTCAGAAAACCTCTCCTTTTTGAAGCAATAACATTTCCCTTTTTATTTACAGTGAACCAAGTAATGCTGAAAAGGAATCTTTGGACTTAGAAACTGAAGGAGATGAGATTAAACAAAACATTGCTAAAAACACTTCAATGCTATCATCAAGAGAAAAAGAGTCCTTTTATTTTTCAGAATTCTCCTACTATTCCTCTGACTCCAAAGATTTTGAAAATATTGGTGAGAGGAAGAATTTCATCTATTTAAATTGAGGCTTTTTTTCCCCTCTGTAAAACATTCTAATCTTAACAGAAGCTATCTCATTAGAACCGTTTTTTGTTGTTGTTCTTTTCTGCCCATCTGATTCCATGGTCTGAATTTCTGTCTGAGTTTTTTCAGTTCCTGTGTGCTTCTGCTTCACTTTAGGGAAGTGAGGCCGAGCTTTCTTTGGTCTTTGTAAAAAAAAGCCTCTTGGTAATAAACCCTTTTCCTTCCTTGCTGCCCGCTATCTTTTGTAACTCTGCCCCGACCCCTATCTCCAGTAAATCTTTTCAGCGTTTAACCAACTTCTACAAATCACGATATGCATTTAAGAGACGTTCTTTCCTACAGATATGTTGGACTGGGAGACTCATGTGCACCAGAACCTGCCCGGGCTGATGGAAATGGATCGAGAAGAGCGTGTTGTTTGGCCCAGAGATTCGCTCTTCCGCTACTTTGAGTTGCTGGAAAAGCTTCAGTATAACCTAGAGGAGCGTAAGCGATTGCAGGAGTTTGCAGGTACGGACTTAGGGCAGCGCTGGGGGCCAGGAGTGAGTACAGCTATAACTGGGGAGAAGGAAGGATGGTGTGCACTATTTTGGCATCTCAGCGTCTCCATTTCCACTTCAGACCTGAAAAAGGCGAACCCTTGGTTTGGTGTGCCACATTCTAGGCCCAGGAATTTCCCCTAAGCTAGAGAGAACTGGACAGTTCTGCTTCTCCAGCAGGGGACGCCCAAGTCCTATGAGATCTTGTTTCCCAAGCGGAGTGTGTCCAATTCTATTTGATGGGAATTTGGACAAGATGGGCCCCTGCTGCATATGGGGAGCCCACCCCCTCTGTATATATTTCCTATCTTTGAAGACCACCTTTCAGACCTGAACAGCAGGGACTTCCAAGTTAGGAATCTGTGGGAATTAGACAGTAGGCAGAAAGTCCACAAGTGCTTACTGTCTCCAGCCCCCAAAAGAACTTTATGAACTGTAGTCTTCTCGTCCTTTTAGGCATTTATTTTTTTGTTTTTGTTTTGTTTTCCTTTTAGCCCTTTCTAGTGTCTGCCTAGAACTAGCCCAGTAGTGTTGTCAGGTATTAACTGCAAGATTGGTGATTCAAAACTAGTAGCTGCTCCAAAAGAGAAAAAAATGAGGCGACCTGCTCCTATAAAGATGGACAGACTCAGAAACCTTACACAGGGTTGCTGGAGTTGGAGTTGACTCGATGGCCGTGGGAGTGAGTGAGTGAATGCTTGTCTAGAAACGCTGGTGGCAGTGTGGATTAGGCATGGGGCGGCTAACTGCAAGGTTGGCGGTTCAAATCCCCCAGCTGCTCCTCAGCAGGAAGATGGAGCTCTCTGCCTCCATCAAGAGTTGCAGTCACTGAGGTAGGGTCACTGAGTGGGAGATGACTCACTGGCAGGACTCTGTATGTTTTGGGGTAACAGCCTAGGTAGAAGTGGTTTGATTAAATAGTAGGGTTTGGTTTAAGCTGAAATCTTGCCGCCCAAAATTAAATCTTCTAAAATTTTCACTTGAAATTTCACTACTTAGAGACTAATTTGTATTACTCAATGTTTCCTTTAAAAATAAAAATCTAGAAGTGTTAAGACCATTTTTTTTTACAGTTTAAGATGAATTAGTGTTTCTGAGTTTTCTTCCTCATAACTAGTTGAAACCCACCCAATGTGAAAATAAGAATGAAGTTAGAAGTGAGAGGGGGAGATAGTATATGAGTGTGTGTGTAGTAGGCATAGGGGGGCACTAAGAGGGACTAATAATATTGGAATCTGGAGCTGGGGGCAGACTCTGTTGTTGGGCGCCATCTGCTCAGCACAGAATGGCCCCTAGAGGGCCCTAGATTGTAAATCTTTTCAGAGCAGACCTCTGAGCAGCTCATAGGTTTGAACCACTGACCTTTTCATTAGCTGGTGAATACTTAACCATTATACCATGAGGATTCCTTAAAGGATAGACTTTGCCTATTTGAAATGTTGCCTATGGTTAATCCAGCCCTGCCTTCCCAATTGTTCTCTGAGGATTTTAGAGTGCTGGCTGGTAGAAAGGAGTAGGTAGCAGGCTAGCTTCTTTAATCCTGATTAACTTGATTCTGTATAGCAAAGCATATACAGAATCATATGGCTTCAATTAAAGTAAAGATTTGTGTGTGGGAACTTATCACCACTCCCTTGGCGGCGGGGGTGGAGTGGGGTGGAAAGTCGTCACCCAACATTTCTATGTTGTAAACATTCTTAGCTCTCGAGCCTCACAGCCTGTTTCTTTGCAGTCCGGGCACTGATGAACTTTGAAGACAAATAAAGCAGACAATGACTTCAATATCTTTGGGCCCAGCAACAAACTAATAAAGGACTACTTGGAAAGGAAGAGTTCAAAATATAAATAAAAACTGCTTACGGTTGCTCGTTGGTCTGTCTCTGAGACTTACTAGATCCTGCTAAGGCATAGGGTCAGGTGAAAGAATTAGTTCAGTTGCCAGTGGAGCCTGTGGCCCTTAGCCTTTTGTTCTCTCCACAGCTCCTGAGTCTGCCTTTTTTCTTATCCTTAGTCTCCCCCTTCCAGCAACCTCTGCCTCTAGATGGCCCACTGCGATCAGTCAATTCCGACTCAGAGCAACCCTGTGTAGGGCTTTTGAGACTACAAAACTTTTATAGTCTCAACCTCATCTTTTTCCCTTGGAATGACTGGTGGGTTTGAACTGCCAACCCAACACCTAACCCCCCCCCACCACCAAAGTTCACATCAGTAAGTATTTCAATAGAAGTTTAGTGTTAGAAAGGACCTATGCCTTAGTCTATTTCCCATCAAAGCAGCAACTCCTCTTAGAACATCACTGAAAGTGATTGTCCAGTTGATGGTTGATATTTGAGTTCCTGGGAATTCATTATCTAGAAGGGATCCTATCACACTGTTGAGGACTCAAGTCTTTTTTTTGGAAAGAGCCTGGGATATTTGGATAATATGCCAGGGAGCTTCAAAACGTTTGTGGAAATAGTTCATTGTTATTATTACTATTGGGGGCACTAACAGCTCTTATAACAATCCATTCATCCATTGTGTTCAGCACATTTGTACATATGTTGCCATTTTTTAACTTGAGTCCTTTGTATCAGCTCCTCTTTTTTTCCTCCCTCTCTAATCCTCCCACCTCACAAACCCTTGATAAATTATAAATTACTGTTATCTTCATATCTTACACCGTCTGTTATTTCCCTTTACCCATGTTTCTGTTGTTTGTCACCCTGGGTTGGGGAGTTATACATTGATCATTGCGATCGGTTCCCCCTGTCTCCCACTTCTCCCTCCACCTTCCCCTACCCTCATGGTGTCGCTACTCCCATTACTGTTCCTGGCCACGGGGTATCTGTCCTGGATTCCGTGTGTCAAGAGCTCTTATCTGTACCAGTGTACATGCTCTGATCTAGCTGGATTTGTAGGGTAGAACTGGGGTCATAATAGTGGGAGTGGGGGAAGCATTAAAGAACTAGAGAAACCACTTAAATTATAAAATTACTACCTCTCGTAACCTGATAGCTCAAAGGAAATGTGGCTTCATAATCCATTTGATAAAATTTTACCATCATTAAAACTGGTTTTGTTTCTCTGCAGCCCTTTGTCTTTCTTCTTTCCCATGTGTCGACTTTACCCTTAGGCTGTTTTTGTTCAGGTCGCCAGATAGTTTCCTGTAACTGCCAGGCCTAGAGATTTCTTTAGTCACATGCAAGTGAAGGGAAACCCCAACTCCTTTCTCAGTCATTGAACAAAACTCCAGGGTTTTGAGTCAGAATAGTGGTTTTTCTTAAAAATGTGGATACTGGCTGGGAAGGAACATGACGGAGCTTTTTAGGGTACTGTGAATGGTCCATCTGTTGGTCTGCATGGTGGTTACACAGATATGTGCAGATGTAAAGATTCAACAAGCTATACACTCAAGATTTGAGCGTTAACTATGTGTAAATGAAACCTCAAGCACTCACACAGACAAAGTCCTTAGCACCATTGTGATTGGATCAAGATCGATCATATACCCACTCCTGAACTCATCAAAGATATAAGGTGAATGGGGGTCACTAATTTTCTCCTAGAACTGAAAAAAATTGATCATGTCCAGCCTTAAGAAGTGCTACACAATTAGGAAGGGAGAGAATGGATGATAAGGAAGCAACTATAAAATCCTACATCTGGGTAATGAATGTACAAATGTGCTTTACGCAATTGATGTATGTATGGATTGTGGTAAGAGTTGTATGAGCCTCTAGTAAAATGATTTTAAAAAATCCTCCATATACCACTTATGTGTCAGCTTGTCACATAGTGATGGCTTGTGTGAAGCTAGAAGCTATGTCACTGAGATTTCGAATGACATATTTCATTGGGCAAGTCTGTTGTTGTACAAGACCTCATTAAAGTGTAAAAGAACAAAGAAGTCACTCAGAGGACTACGGTGCACCTGACCCAAGCCATGGTATTTTCATTTTGCCTCCTATGCATGGGAAAGCTGGGAGATAAATAAGGAAGTCCGCGGAAGAATTGATGCATTGAATTATGGTATTGACGAAGAATGCTGAAAGTAGTGCAAATTATCAGAAGCAGAAACCAATCTGTCTCGGAAGAAGTCCATCCAGAATGCTCCTTAGAAGCAAGGATAGCACAGACTTCATCCCGCGTACTTTGGAGGTGTTGTTAGGAGAGATCAGTCCCAAAACAAGACCATGGTGGTTGGTAAAGTTGAGGGTCAGTGAAAGAGAGGGAGATTCTTAATAACATGAATTGACTTGGCGGCCATGATGGCGGACTCAAACAGAACAATAATTATCAGGATGGAGCAGGGCCAGGCACGGTTTTGTTGTTTGTATGGGGCCACGATGGGTTGGAACCAATTCAACTGGCACCTGACGACACTGACAGCAACATGATATTCCCTGTAGCAGTCATTACCAAAGATGATCTCTAGAAAAAGTCAAAATAGGAAAAATAAAAATGAATGTCCAATTTATCTCCACAGGAATAGAAAGTAGATTAGTGGGGAGGAAGGGATTAGGTATGACTCCTAATGAGTATGGAATTCCTTTTTGGGGTGATGGAAATGCTATGGAATTAAGGAGTGGTAATGGTTGCCCAATATAATTATGGTAGTTACCTAATCTAGTGTCAATTTAAGGATTAAGAGTGTAGGGATGGAGTCTAGGCTGTCAATCTGTGGCTAGCCAATGAGACTTCTGTGTGGGCATGGCCTTCGGAGAATTCTGGGAAATTTGCTATTTCCTCCTTGGAGGTGGGAGACTCTGCTCACACGCTGGGAGACATAGCAGCTGACAAGACACATGGACTCACCCTGATAGAGAGACCCCTGCCAGCGCTGAGATGCTTACAACACCACTGAATCCAAAGACTTTGTACCCACTGGCCTGTGATTGTCCTGCAGTCAGCATCATTGCATGTGTTTCATGAGTCTGAAGAGAACTTTATGGATTGCTATCGGACATATGGGCTAATGTTGAATTTATGGACTTGATCTGGATTGAGCTGGGACGTTTTCTCAATGTTCAATTGCTCTTGTATATAAACCTCTCCCTTATACACATATGTGTGTCCACAGATTTGCTTCTCTAGTCTATCCAGATTAACACAATAATGGATATACTAAGAACCACAAAATCTTACACTTTTATATGATGAAATTTATGTTACATGAATTAATAATTTAAAACTTAAGTAAAGGTTATCTAGTCTAAAAACCAAGAATCAACATTATACTTCAAGGGAAACTATTTTAGCCATTCCCAAAAAAAGTGGCAACAAGTGTTTTTAATTTTTATAAATCATTTTACTGGGGCTCTTACAGCTTTTATAACAATCCATATATCCATTGTGTCAAGCACATTTGCACAATGTTGCCATCATCCTTTCAAAACATCTTCTTTCTACTTGAGCCATTGATATGAGTTCCTCACTACCCCCCCCACCTTCATGAACCCTTGATAAATTATAAATTATTATTTTCATATCTTACACCATTTGCTGTCTCCCTTCACCCATGTTTCTGTTGTTCAACACCCTGGGGGAGGGGAGTTTACACATTGATCATTGAGATCGGTTTCCTCTTTCTCCCCCCACCTTCCCCCTGCCCTCATCCCTACTCCTATTATTGTTCCTGAGGGGTTTATCTGTCCTGGATTCCATGTGTCCAGAGCTCTTATCTACCAGTGTACATGCTCTGGTCTAGCTGCATTTGTAAGGTAGAACTGGGGTCACGATGGGGGAGGGGAGTAGGAAGCATGAAAGAACTAGAGCAAAGTTGTAGGTTTCATCCGTGCTATACTGCACACTGACTGACTCATCTCCTCCTTGTGACCCTTCTGTAATGGAATGTTCAATTGTCTACAGATGGACTTTGGGTCTCCACTCCACTCCCTCATTCATATCAATATGATTTGTTTGTTTTGGGTCTTCTGATGCCTGATAATTGATCCTGTCAACACCTTGTGATCACACAGGCTGGTGTGCTTCTTCCATGTGGGCTTTGTGGCTTCCCAGCTACATGACCACTTGTTTAACATCAAGCCTTTAAGATCCCAGATGCTAAATCTTGTGATAGCTGGGTACCATCAGCTTTCTTTACCACATTTTCACTCATTTTGTCTTCAGCGATCATGTTGGAAAGGTGAGCATCACAGAATGCCACTTTATTAGAACAAAGTGCTCTTGCATTGACGGAGTACTTGAGTAGAGGCACAATGTCTGTCTGCTACCTTAATACTTAACCTATAAATATATGTACATAGAACTATATCCCTATCATGATATATAAATATATTTATATATGTACATGCCTGTATTTATACCTCTAAAATGTCCTTTGCCTCCCAGTTCTTTCCTCTATTTCCTTTTACTTTCCTCTTGTCCCACTATCATGTTCAACCTTAATTTGGCTTTCAGTAATTCCTCTTAGCTACATTGCACTTGATGAAATCCCACCAGGCATTCTTCACCCTCCTAGCCATTGATTTTAGATCTCTTGTTGTTCCCTTGTCCCTGGATTTGTTGACTCCCACCTCCCTTTCCCCCACATCCCCCTCTCTCATGTCCCCTTGGAATAGTTGGTCCCATTGTTTTTTCCTCGGAATTATTTATCCTACCTGTCTTATATAGATAGACAAGGGGGAGGGAGTCTATAAATAGTTCCATATCTGTCTGCTGACCCTTATGTATGTTTTCCAATCGAGTCTGATGAGGTGCCAAGCCCTGCCCCCGAAGTCTATTTTTGGGATTCTTCGGGACTTTATTGCTTTGCTTCCCTTGCTGCTCTGTTGTGCTCCCTTCGTGATTCACCTGGTGTGTGGGGTTCAGACCGGGCACAATTCCTGCACTGTGTCTCCAGTGTTGTCCCCTGTAGCACTA